TCGAATGGCTAGACCTCCATCCATTGGACATTACCGAACACCTTGAACCGTACCGAAAGAACAAGAATCGAGCGCGAAGAAATCAAATTGGTTTACAATAGCTCGTGAAAAAGATATTGGATATTGGATATCAGTAAGGTGTTTTCCTCGCAAAAACAGCATTTGCGATGCTGCTGCATTCTCGCAAGTAAGGAGGTGGTTAGAAGATATCGACCCTAAAAGTGCCACACCCCATCATACTTAACGGATTTCCGTCTCCGACGGTAGGGCCTTCAAAGAGGCATCAATCTCCTGGATGTAGTCAAGAGACCAACAACTAGCTGAGCGATAGGATTGGAGAACAAACCGTACGAAGATAGACTCCGGCACTTGGGATCAGTTGGTTAAGGTGGAATCATAGGTGAAAGTGATTATGGCGTGAAACATATTATCATCTTAACATGAGCATCTTGCCGAAGCAACACCATAAAGTCCCTAGGAAATCTTCAGAAAACTTTACTCTCATAGCGAACAACGAGATTCGTGTACACGTTTTCACAGAGATGTCACAGCTTGTAATGCTCTTCCAGCAGAGGTGAAGACGATCATCTCAGTGGACAGCTTCAAGGATAAACCTGATAAACATATGCAGATGGTTTATCATCTCCCACTTGGACTAGCTTCGCTGGATGCTTGTTTCTATACTTGCTAGTTGTTTCTAATGTCATTTACATTTAAATCCTCGAGCACAATCTTCACTACCATTCAACTTAATTATTTAGTAATTTACTTCGAAAATGTTCTACTCATTAACATTAGAACTGTTTTCTTGTTATTCTGAACACTGAAAATAACTGATCACCGGTCATCTAATGTGATAGTTTCTGGTATGTAGAGACCATACTGCCCTGGAACAAATTTACTCATTCAAATCATGTAACATAGTCATAAAATACTGTTAACTGACTAGAAGTGATGCAGATGAGTGGTTAGAGCGCGAATAAATCAATCGATTTATACCAGCCCTTGAAAAAGATGACATATTGGCTTCAAAGAAAACAGTATTTACTAAAATTATTCATTTACGCAGAACTGGTAAGTGCTAACAGTACCACAAATAGTGAAAACGAAAACCAGTTACTTGACCTTACATCCTCAGTCTAATGATACAACATTAGAGAACCGAAATTGTTGTTTAGTCGCATCAACTTTGCAAAATATCGTCAGTTTGACAAGGTTTTGGCCTTTCCCGTAACGAACTTTTAAAGTTTTACGCTACCGGTCAGTAGTTCTAGCCGTTATTTATTATTTGTGTTGTGCCTAATGTTAATCGATTGCATCAGTTTTCAGACGCAAGAAGACCCGGTGGGGTTGCTAAGTTTTCGTCTTGTTTTCATCCGGTGCATGCGCTTGCACTGGTTAAAATCACTAATCTTAATGTCTTTTTAGGACGAATCGTAACATTGGTCAGCAATCCCCCTACAGTAGTTAAATAAGAGAGGGATCCAACGTTGTCAGCCTTACCTGAGGAAACAAACTTTCACCCACTACCGTCGTGATCCAGACATAAAAATGAAAGCTTATAAGATTTCTGGCAATTCTCAGCATGATTTTTAACAAATCTCAATATTTAGATGACATTAACAAGTGTGGTTTTGGTCGAAAAATCTCTTACATAGTGATTTCATTTCTTATTTTCTCAAACAACTTGTAAGGTAATAATAAGGTCGTATTACTTATGAAATGAAAAGTCATACTCACTTTTCTCACGTATCCGATTTATTCGTTGGCAATGCATCAAAGTATTACGTATAATAAAGTTGATTCGAAATTTCCGGTCAGCGTACCGAAAGTAATGAAACTTCTATATTGCATTACTGTCACTGACTCGCAAATATCCAATAAATTCGGAAACGGAATAAGAATCATCCCTCATAGTGATACTGTACCTCAACATGTTTCTCATCGATACGTTGCTCACGGCAATGTTTGCTAAAATAGTACTTCGCTCCCATATAACGGAAATAGAAATTTGTTTTCAAAAATATATTATGCTTCTCTCTACGAAAAAACCTATTCAATTAATCGCTTGAGTTATTAAAGTAACATTGGTTCATAACTTCACGCACTTCCAAACATATTTTCTCGTATAACGAGGTTAAAATTCTTGGTGTAAATGTGCTTACATACAAAAATAACAGAAAGTGTTTTATTTCAAATTTCGGTATCAATTTTACGCTTCTGAAGAGCATTTTCGGTTGTAGTACCAAGTAGGGTGATGGACTGGCTACCTCAGGTTTCACCGCGTATAGCAGAATGTGTTGCACTAACTTTTTCAGATTATCTTTCTTCACTTTGATAATCATTTTCATCTGGACTACTCATGAATTATTACCTTACAATTTGTTTGAAAAACTACGAATTTATCAATCACTTTATAAGAGGTTCGTCGACGTTAATCATACTTTTATGTTTTTTCATCGTATTGATTCCTTCTTACTGTACAGATATGGTTTCCACCCTTAGCAACAATGAAAGCATGTTTGGATTGCGGTTTTCTTCCTCGAAATGCAAAATGTTGCTTCAGGATTGGGTTGCATTGGCACCTGAACTAGTGATAGGGAGTGAAGTATTTGAACGTGTAGATCGCTTCACTTATCTGGGGAGTCTCATCAGTGCTGATGGCCTGGTGACTGACGAAATCTCAGCTCGGATACAAAAAGCTCGATTGGCTTTTTTCAACCTGCGTCACTGATGGCGTAGGCGAGATATCCGTTTACTGACTAAAGGACGAGTGTACTGTTCAGCAGTTCGCTCCGTCCTACTCTACGGATGCGAAACATGGCCGTTAAGAGTAGAGGACTTTCGTTGGTTACTAGTCTTCGATCATCGATGTCTCCGAAGCATTGCTCGTGTATTATGGTACAACCGTATTGAGCAATGCTGTCGTTAGGAAACGAGTTCTAGGTAGGGATGGCAGATCAATAGAAGTAGTGAGACTTCATCAGTTGAGGTTGTTGGGACATGTGTTACGTATGCCTAACCACCGACTGCATCGTCGAGCTATATTTTGTAGTGTAGGAGTAGGTTGGAAGAAAGTTAGGGGCGGCCAGACCAAAACATGGCAGAAATCCATGAAGTCACTGACAAGTGGACTGAGTCATGTTGGTAGATGTAGGCTACCTGGTTGGGGTCGGCGAGACGAAAGTCACCAATGGTTAGAGACCTTGATTGACATGCCTCAGAATCGTTTGCAATGGCGCAGATGCATCCACTCTTTGTGTTCCCTCAAATTCTAATCTGAATTCCTCATAATCTCTATCTTTCTCCTTCTAAATTTGTCTCACTGAATTATACTTCTCGAACCATATCTTCTCCATTGCTGCTAATAATTCTACTATCACTATCACTCTTGGATTTGAACTGAAAGTTACGTCTCTATGCTGACGTGGTATGGCAACGTGAACTGATGTACTTATGTACGAAGTTCTGCGTTGTATCTGTCTGTCTGTCTGCCTGTCTATCTTACCGATATGATTTGGTAACGTCAGCCAATCTATTTTCGAACCAGCCTGTACGCTTGATTATGTACTGTGAACTGGATTATTCGATCCCTCAGCCTTAATTGTTCTGGACACTATCAAGTGCCGCAAGTAAACTATCAAGCTGAGAAAACACTAAAGGCCTATTCGAGCTGCGAATCTTTTGTGTCGTTTCGGAACTCAGTTGATCTTTACTCGAGATTACTCCGAAATGAGAATAAAAATATTAGACATAAATGCATGTTTGTGCTTAAGAATGTGAATATAAGATGGACTATTGGAGTCTCCTTTACTCTTTGGTTTTTATACCTTTAGCGAATGAAACTGTCATTAATGTTCTGCCAGTTGACTAAACGATCTTTAAGCCAAATATTACTTTCAGGAAAATCGAATCAGCTATGTCACCTAATAATGTGCATTGATTGAATTCGGACAGGAGTACTGACAATAGGTTTTATGGTTAACGGCACTTACGATTTGCTAACAAACTTTTTTATAATTTTATACATGTAGATGACTTTAAATGGATTTATCTATTGAAAAAATGTTACCTTTTTCTTATTGTAGGTAAAACTCAAATCAAATTGACTCAGGTATTTGGATATGAATAACACTTAGTGTAGGGGCTGTTGATACCAAGCATTTAGTCTTGAGACGTAAGAATTTCGGATTAGATAGCTTGAACTTCACATTGAGTTTAAACTCACAATTAACTCGTTTTCAAGAGATCTGGTTTTTACTTTTCGCACTCCCATGCTGTTGGTAACTATCATGGTGTAAAAATTCATTTAAGGATTAATACGTTCGTTTGTTGTGATAGTGGTTCACACTTCAATATAATAAAGTTGCTTTATATTCTTCTCACTTATTTTAGAGTAATAACCTCAATTTTTTAGATGAAGCATTTTGATGTAATCAGTATAAAGACGTTATTGATTAAGATATTTAAACCGAGTGGCTGTCATTCTCTGAAGATATTGCTTATATTGCTAGCTAATTCATTCTAAGTTTAATATCAGCCAGAGTGTTGTACAATGTTAACCAATTTCTATTACAGTCTTTATCATAAAATAATTTAAAGTAAATTACAGGTAGTTATTGGTCTCTGAAATAAATTTACTTACTTACTTACGCCTGTTACCCCCAATGGAGTATAGGCCGCCCACCAGTTTTCTCCAACCAACTCTGTCCTGGGCTTCCTTCTCCAGTTCTGTCCAATGTTTGTTCATTCTTCTCATATCTTTCTCTATTTCTCGGCGTAATGTGTTCCTTTCACCTCGAGGGTTCCATGTGAGGACTTGTCTCGTGACTCAGTTAGGTGCTTTTCGTAGTGTGTGTTCTATCCACTTCCACCGCTTCTTCCTGATTTCCTCCTCCACTGGAATCTGGTTCGTTCTCTCCCACAGTAGATGGTTGTTGCTGATGGTGTCTGGCCAACCAATCCGAAGTTTTTTTGCGTAGACAACTATTAATAAACACTTGTTTCATCTGGATGATGCCTTTCGCAGTTCTTCAAGTTTCCACTCCATACAGTAGAACTGTCTTGACATTTGTATTGAAAATCCTGAAACAAATTTATTTGTCAGCAAATAATTGGTTTAAATGAATGCCTTCTCTTTATATATATAAATCTGTCATTGTTCATTCGATTGTATCAAATCCCCCTGTCTTAATATATTTATTTTCACTTTGTATTTTATTACAACAGACTTTTTAATGGATTTATTTAATCCATCTAATGGATTTTTCTAAATTTTTTTTTAGACAAAAATTAAAAAATTCTACTTATCATCATTATTATCACTAAATCTTTCAATGGATGTTGAATTAGAAAATATTTTAGGCAAATCCGACGAAATATCAAAACTTTTATTGAGTAAAAGTTTTCGAGAAGTTAGTCAACTGTTCCATAACTTCATTTCTTCATTAATTTATTCATATTTTAGATTGTCAATTGTTTTGATAAACTTTTAAAATCGGATGATAATAAACCGAATAGATTAAATTTACTTGAAGCTATTTTGGGTATGTGAATTTCTTTTCATAAATGAGTTTATTATCATTGTTTTTTTTAGTTGGTGTTAGTAAACATGAACAATTGTTAGAAATATATGAACATATTGTTGATTATCTATGGTCAAAACAATTGGATACTAATCTGAGGCTAATATTTTTTTCATTTCTAAATAATAATGTATGTTAATTTGATTTGTTGGTGTTAATTTTATATTCATTTCTAAAATTTCTAGTTAGATTTTTTAGAAGATTGGAAAATTGAACGTTTGTGCTTTCGAATGATTCGTAAATTACATTGTTTATGCTGTGAACCATCACTGTAAGAGATGTATTTATGTTTATTCAATAAACTATTTTTTTTCAGCTTATTCGATATTTTAGCTAAAGGTTTAACTAAATTGGAAAATTCTAATACTGTTCTATGTTCAATGGTTGATTCACTTTGTTCTGTAGAGTAAAACAAAAAAATTTTCCCTTTATATTTTAAAAATTTTTAGATGGTCCAATGAAAATGTCACATGTTTATTGGATATTTTCAGTAATTATAACTTACAACGAAAATCAATGGAAAAGATATTGGAAAAAGCTTTATCGAAAATTATTATTTCATGGAAATTAGATAAATTACCAGATAATTTTGTACAAAGTATTCTATTGTTTGCATTTCCGGTTTGTATAATTCTCTTTTTATAATGATTTTATTATTTTTTTTTTGAAATTAGAGATATATGGAATTTTTATTTATACAAATTACACGACTTATCTATAGTACAAGTAGTAGTGATAGTAGTAGTTCATCGGAAACAATTGAAATGATACGTGGTCAATTAATGATGAAAATATTTGCATTAGTGAAAGCAAATGAACATTTTGGAAAAATTATTTTTGAAACGATTAAGGTATCTCTGTTTTGTTTTTTTTTCCTTATAATGAATGGTCAATTAGTGTTTATCCAAATCATTGAATGGATCAGAATTTTATTATACTATTTTAATGACTTTACTGCCTATTCGTAGTACTCAAACTCAAGTAAGTTTTATTATTTAATAACTGATAATATATATGTATGTTTGTTCATTTATTAAATATATTTTTGCAGTTTATCATTTATTTATCATTTATTTCAAGTATATTTCTGTTTGTCTGGTGTTAACTTGTATTTGATCAAAACAAAATTTATGACTGTATAACGAGTAAGTAGGTCCTAGTTTGAATTCTACTGACAACAATTCTAATGGATACTTTTTTGAGTATAGAAAACAGCGTATTTCTGATTTATGTTGAATATGAGGTGAGATATCTGTTTCCTAACCAAAGGAAGAGTCTACTGGTTAGCAATTCGCTCCAACCTACTTTGTGACTGCGAAACATGACCAGTCATAGTAGGAGATATTCGTAGGTTACTGGTTTTTGATCATAGGTGTCTCCGAAGCATTGGTCGTGTATCCTGAGACAACCGAGTAAACAATGCTGTTGTTAGGACACGGGTGCTAGGTAAGGATGGCAGATCAATAGATGAAGTTGCGAAGCCTCATCAGTTGAGGCGGTTGGGACATGTGTTACGTATGCCTAACCACCGACTGCATCGTCGAGCTATGTTTTGTGATGTAGGAGTAGGTTGTAAGATAGTTAGGGGCGGCCAGACCAAAATAAGGCAAAAATCCATGAATTCACTGACAAGTGGACTGAGCCATGTCGGTAGGTGTCGACTGCCTGGTTGGTATCCGCGAGACGAAAGTCACCAATGGTTAGAGACCTTGAACGACATGGCTCAAAATCGTTTGCAATAGCGCAACTGCATCCACTCTTTGTGTTCTCTCAAATTCTAATCTGAATTCCTTATGACCTTCATTTCTCTCTGGACGATCTGGACGTCGCAGATGACCTGGCTCTTCTGTCGCACACGCAACAACAAATGCAAGAGAAGACGACCAGTGTAGCAGCAGCCTCTGCAGCAGTAGGTCTCAACATACATAAGGGGAAAAGCAAAATTCTCCGATGCAACACAACATGCACCAACCAAATCACTCTTGATGCCTTGGAGGACGTTAACACCTTTACATATCTGAACAGCATCATCGACGAGAAAGGTGGATCCGATGCAGATGTGAGGGTGCGGATCGACAAATCAAGGGCTGCATTTCTGCAGTTGAAAAATATCTGGAACTCCAACCAAAACCAAAATCAGGATTTTCAATACAAATGTCAAGACAGTTATATTGTATGGAGCGGAAACATGGAGAACTACGAAAGCCATGATCCAGAAGAAACAAGTGTTTATTAACAGTTGTCTACGCAAAATACTCCGGATTGGTTGGCCAGACACCATCAGCAACAACGTACTGTGGGAGAAAACCGACCAGATTCCAGTGGAGAAGGCAATCAGGAAGAAGCGGTGGAAGTGGATAGGGCACACACTACGAAAAGCACTCAACTGCGTCACCAGACAAGCCCTCACATGGAACCCTCAATGCAAAAGGAAAAGAGGAAGGTCAAGGAACACATTACGTCGAGAAATAGAAAAAGACATGAGAAGAATGAACAAAGATTGGACAGAACTGGAGAAGGAAGTTCAGGACAGAGTTGGTTGAAGAAAACTGGTGGGCTGCCTATGCTCAATTGGGGGTAACAGGCGTAAGTAAGTAAATATGTTTATTTTATACTCCTTGAATAATATCGTCGAACCCTAATCTCTCCGATTACTGCTAATACTTCTACTACCTTTAATACTATGGAATTCGAAGTGAAAATTGCGTCTCTGTGCTAATGTGGTATGGCAATCGGAACTGAGGTACGTACGTACGTACGAAATTCTACGTTGTAACTAACTGACTGACTGAATATGAGCCATGTTAGCCTGTACTAAAGTATCCTCAACGCAGCAAGTCATAATTAACACAGGCTAAAATAGGTATATATCAGCCCGACCTACCGCGCTATATCCCGTTACGAGGAATATCAAGAGTTGAAATGATGGTATGATTAATCCTACTGAGAAAGATCAAGCATTAAAGATTACAGTTCAAAAAGAAAGGATGAATTCAAGGAACAAAAAATCTATTAAATAATTTTTAATCTCAAGATAAGGAACAAATAAAAGGCAATTCATATGCATCACTCTGTCTGATTCTAACCCATTTAACCTAATGATTCTACTGACTACATATCTTATCGATTTAAAGATTACTTGTTCCCATAATTACCGTACTAGTGAATATCTAGAGATTATCAATAAGTTAATGTATGTACTTGTTGACTCACCACGTCACTTAAATATCCTACTCCTCGTTTCTAGATCCAAATGAGCAGCTCTAAGGTTCATCATGATGGGCAAAAATGTTGCCTAACACTTAGATCTTAATTCATTCGAGAGTGATTGAGGTTCAAGTGATTGATGTATAATACTTTATTACAGTTTAACAATGAAAAATTAGATTGTTCATTAAAATCATGATTTAAATGCTTCAATACTTCTGTCAATAATTATTCATCTAAATACAATGCATTTTTTGATTCATTAAGTATCTAGTTAAAAACTAGATATAAAAGCATGATTGTTATTGCAGTTCATCCTTTCTTGACCGACTCATATCCATGGAATGTTGCTTTCGTTGTATATATAACAATTTAACCAGAAAAAACTACACATTTGGTCAAACACGTAAACCAAAAGTGTTGACTCCGCTCTTCAGAAGTTCTTATCGCCGGAGACGGAAATTTGTGCAGTAAGGTGAGGTGTGACACTTTTAGGGTCTAACTTCTCGTACCCCTTCCTTCTGATGTCAGTAGGTAACATCGCTGTCAATGCTGGTTATCCGAGGGAAACACGTTACTGCTGACACTACTCTCTTTAGTCAGCAGTACGACTTCGCCCTCACATCTTCAGTTGGTGCTTTTAGCCTTAAGGTTCTTCAATCAACCTGTCTAGCATGTTGGGACCTATAGGAACATATGTTCCGGTCTATATAGCTCGGTGGAGTTATCTCGATAGGCAAGCCTAACTATCACATGAGTGCAACAGCCACGGTCGGGGTGTAAAAAAGTAGTGTTAAAAAATCAAGTTTTCCTTATTATCCCTATTTTTCAATTGTTTCTTTCTGCCATATTGTCTATAAAGGCCACTCAATTACTGACTTCCTCTATTTTGACGGGATTTACTGATAATCATTTGGTGTTAGAGTCGTCGTTTCTTCGAGATTTATGCCGATTGCCGGATGATCCTAAAGAAATTATCCTCAAGCTTAGTGAAAATTGGTAAATTTATATAATATATATCTGTCTGTTAACTTTGTAAACATTGATTGCTTTTTACGAAGATTTGACATGAAAACATCTAGAGCTATCATGGAACCGTCACCATCTTGAAACACTGACTTCGGTGGCCTGGGCATATGCTACGAATTTCATCCCAGAGGCTCTCACATCGTGCATTTGTTGCCGACTCCTGTACTGGTTCGAAAAAGCGAAGTGGTAATAAGTTTATGACTTAACACCATGGTATAAAAGGCAGCTATGTAGGACTGAGATTTTTCAGTCAACCATGGTTTCCTAGTTTGCCTTCTAGAAGTGGAGCAACCTAGTAGCTTGAGACATTATCTGACCTTTCTCAGGACAGAAACCAATGGGGATTCTTTCGTAATCTTCTGTTAAATTCTTCATAAATATCAGAGAAATCTCTTTACCTGAAAGAGTTCTAAAATATGTTGTTTGCACTGTTAACCCAAATGTCTCCGCTATTACACAGTTTTCTCGTTAATTGTTCTATACATTATTTTTTCTCCATTCTGTTCAATTGTATTTAGTTCTCCTTACAGTGTTATCCATACTTTGTGTGGCTCATTCTTCTCATTGACTTCCTTCTGTATCTATATTTTGTGCTACAGTAAATAAATAAACAGTCGGTTTGACAAATGCAACTTAGAACGTGGCACATATATCCATCTGATGAAGTTGTGACTTCATCATCAGCATAGAAAAATGAAATTATTCAAACAATTGTCAGAGTAGAAACATCGGTAGTAGAATAAATTAGGCATAAACAATAATGTTTTGTAAGAATTCGTAGAATCAGTCAGTCAGTCAGATGCAACGTAGAACTTCGTACGTAAGTACATCAGTTCATGTCGCCATACCACATCAGCACAGAGATGTACTTGTCAATTCAAATCCAATAGTAGAAGAGGTAGTAAAGGTATTAGAAGTAATCGGAGAGTTTAGGATCAGAAGATATTATTCAAGAAGTATGATTCAGTGAGAAAAGTTTAGAAAGTCAAAACTAGAGGTGTTGAAGAACCCAGAAGATTAGGATTTGAGAGAACACACAGAATAAATGCACTGGCGCCATTGCGAACGATTTTGAGCCATGTCATTCAAGGTCTCTAACCATCGATTATTATCATCTCGCGGACCCCAATCAGGCACTCGACAACTACCAATTCGTAGAATCAAAGATAATAAGATAGTTTTAAAACTCGTGTTGTAAGGAGGAAGACTATGAATGAATGTATTAGCATCGTTGTTAACGATTTTGGACCGTGTCATCCATCCACCTGAACCATTAATGACAATCTAGATGTTTGCAAACATGGCCTAGTGCACAACGTCAGTAACTTCATGTGCCGATGCCATTTCTCGGCTTCAATCAATCAGCCAGTTACAACATAGAAATTCGTACGTACGCACATCAGTTTAGGTTACCATATCACATTAGCACAAAGAAGCAATTGTCGATTCAAATCCCATAGTAGTAGAGGTAGTAGAAGTATTAGCAGTAGTCGTAGAGATTATGGTTCGAGGACATTATTCAAGAAGTAGAATCTAGTGAAATAAACTTAAAAAGAATAAGACAGAGGTGATGAGGAATTCAGATTAGGATTTGAGGGCACACAAACAATGAATGCACCAGTGCCATTGCAAACTGTTTTCAGTCATGTCATTCAGGGTCTCTAACCATCGATCACTATCATCTCACCGAACTCAACCTGGTAGTCGACACTTACCAACATGACTCAGTCCATTTGTCAATAACTTCATGCATTTCTGCCATATTTTTGTTTGGCTGCCCCTAACTTTCTACTTCTACAACACAAAACATCGCTCGATCTCTTAGCTTGGGCATCCCTACTATTCTATCGTAAACATTGTGTGCATTGTATTATCTGCTGAATCATGTTTCAGTTATACAAAAATCTTCTGAATAAAATAGACATTAGTATTTTAAAAATCATGCATACTGTTGTGTGTATACAAACTAATTGACAAAAGAATAAATTCCGAAATTTCATCTTTTCACTTTTTCTCACTCCTTACTAATAAATATAAATATATGTATCATCAACTTCAAATACCAGTCAGGTTTTATTGGTGAAACATCGATGATGTTAATTTTTTTGTCATACAATTACGGAAATGTTTCATTACATCTGTTAGGATATTCATCCAATATCCTAAGAGAATTATTGGTTAATTTCTACTGGTCAATTTTATGGTCATACTAGATATCAATGTCACGTACTCCAATGTTGTTTCTTATTGGTTGTCCTGACTATCAATGTCACTTCAAATGTTACTTCCTATTGGTCGTCTTAACTATCAATGCCACAGAGTTCGATGCTATTTCCTATTCGACCAAAATGTATAAATATGCATTATCTGTAACGTTTATTGACCACGACCAGGATCAGGGCTTGGTCCCTGATCCCTAGTCCGGGATCCTGACTGTCTCCTGGATTCCGACCTCGTACTTTCTGGATGCTTGTAGAATACAGATTCTACTTCATATCACATCTTCTTATTTTCACTCAATATGGGGGTTGTAATAATCGGATTTGAGTAGCATGTTGTGTCACCGGATCCTCGATCCTCGCTCTTGTTTTCCGATAAGGTAAACTCGTAATAGTTCAAGCATATCAAGTTGACGTGTTTACGTGCAGGCGTAACAACATCATAACAAAATAAATATCTTAATGAGAGTAGTAAACACTTTTTAATGATCGAAAGTGAAATAAAATCTGATCACGATGTAGAGAATCATGATAGTAAATTAAGATTTTAGTATATAGTTTCTTTTTATTTAACTACTTTTGAATATTTAGCACTTCAAAACAATGGGAATTTACTGTTCAAGGAATGACTTTACTTGGTTTTACTCTTCTTCGAGCTGCATGTTCATCTTCAACTGTTTTTACTGCTCACAATAAATCAAGTGGACGTTTATCAAAATCATTATCAACTTCACCTTTTCAAACTCATGATACATTGAAATCACGTATTTTATCTTCTGGCTTAGATTTACTTCTGCATATTTTCAAGGTAAATTATTTTAATTTTTCCTTGAAATAATGAATCCATCAATGTTAGACTACCATTAGAAACCTAAAATCACCAGACAGTAGTTTTGTCCTAATATAGGACTCATCAGTGGCAGCGCACATCCATGACCCCTGGAAGTGGGGATCGAATCTAGGACCTTCGGTCTCACGCGCGATCATCTAACCTCTAGACCACTGAGTCGGTATTCAATAATGTATTAGTCAAACTTCAATCAATTTACGATATTGCACTACTTCATCCATTGTCTTCAGTGGGTAACTGCTTCACACCTGACATGGTTCAATTTCACTGATCATGTCTTCTCACTAAAACTCCGAGAATTTCCTCATGAAGTTACTCACTAGTATGCAGTTGATAATAATCGTAATGGGGTTGTGGAGTTTGTTGTAGTTTCATTGAAATCTTTTGTCACACTTCTTTGATTCTTAATATTATGCTATTCGAATGTTCAATTGTCTTACGTATAATATATATGATCTTCGTATCATTTCAAATTTTTATGGTTAAGTGACTTTGATGATAAATTATTACTTTAATATTTTTATTATTATTATTATGTACTGAATAATTGTCTGAATAACTTAGTGCTTGACAAGTTATGGAGCTGTTACTTTGTGATTAAAAACGACACTTTATTTTCATTAACCCGAGCTTTGTTTTGGTTAGAAGAATTGGGTGGCATCTCTAAACCTCACAAAACGTTGTGACCCAAGGTTTGGTACATATACCTACACCTGACAAACGAGCTGTATCATTATTACTATTATTATTATTATTATTATTTTGAGGTGGTTGGGACATGTGTTGCGTATGCCTAACCACCGACTGCATCGAAGAGCTATGTTTTGTAGTGTAGGAGTAGGTTGGAAGAAAGTTAGGGGCGGCCAAACCAAAACATGGCACAAATCCATGAAGTCATTGACAAGTGGACTTAGCCATGTCGATAATTGTCGACTACCTGGTTGGGGTTCGCGAGATGATAATAATCGATGGTTAGATACCTTGAATGACATGGCTCAAAATCGTTCGCAATGGCGCCGGTGCATTTATTCTTTGTGTTCTCTCAAATCCTAATCTTCTGGATTCTTCAACACCTCTAGTTTTGACTTTCTAAACGTTTCTCACGGAATCATACTTCTTGAATAATATCTTCTAATCGTAACCTCTCCGATTACTTCTAATACCTTTACTACCTCTACTACTATTGGATTTGAATTGACAATTATATCTCTGTGCTGATGTGGTATGGCGACATGAACTGATGTACTTACGTACGAAGTTCTACGTTGTAACTGACTGACTGACTGATTATTATTATTATTATTAGTACTCAACGGTTCGCTGTTTTATCCCACTTTCTTATCCCTTACAATTTATCAAGTTCAGTATATTCAAGCTCCTAAGTAGACGCACAATCAATATCACTGACTAAAATTCGTATCTTCATTTGATAAGAACTTATATTGGATATATGTCAAATATTCAGATGAAATATAAAGTTCTAAAATGAAAAGGATCTGTGTAGATTGTATTATTTTCATAACTAAAATCACGAACTGATCTGAGCTAAGCTATCGTTAGAAACATGAAAGTACTGGATGGTCGTTTCATCTTAGTATTGGGACTTAGCATAACACATCTACGACCCACGCACGTCGGAATCGAAACTAGGATCTATGGTCTCATGCACGGATGTTAAAAATTCAGACTACTGAGTCAGCGTCGGATGTTTTTAATATCTAACTGCAATCAATCCATGATGTTGCGCAACCTTTATCTATTTCTTGCGGTGGATAACTATCTTCTAGAAGTGAAGTGTTCGCGCGCGAAGCCAAAGGTCCCAGGTTCGATCCACGCGCTTGGGGGTTGTGGATGCACACTGATGAGGAAGTTCCATACTAAGACGAAATGGCTGTTATGTGCTTTCAGGTTTCTAATGGTTGTCTACTTTAGGTCAGTTCGTGATGCTTTTAGTTAAATTACTGGTTCATGAATATATGTTTTATTGTTATATGTACACCTAAAATTAAAATTTAAGCTGTTTTATGATCTTAAATCTTTAAACGAAAACTGGATGATCACATTTTTAGTTCGCATACTTTATAGGAGCGAATGAGTAGTGATATCTTATGTGTGTGTGTTTATATTCCACAGATGTGCTGTTTCAATAAATTTATGTACTATAGATCACTGAGACAATAATAATTCCGTTTCCGGTGGTAAGGCCTTTCAAACAAAAGCGGAGTTAACACTTCAAAAACTTCTAATAAAAAGGCTGTGCATGACCGGACTCAAGCAGTTATCCCTCGGACTCCGCGGTCACGCTCCCAGGTCTCTAGGACCAACGATAACCTACTTTCCTTCTTGGGTTCTTCAAGAAACACCCTTCCACGGTATGGGCAACCGGGAAGTGACATCCACCCTCGTACCCGTACCAGCACGCGAGACTAAATCGGTCATAATCAAATCCTTCCTACACACCGTAACATCCCCCTTATCTTCACAACTAACTCATTAATTAACTAACGAAATAAGTTGGAGACATTAATTTTTCTAAACTGTACCTGATTAGAATCCTCAATGGTGTGTGCGTGTGTGTGTGTGTTTGGTAAAACTCTAATGTACAAAAGTGTGTTAGTTTGATCACATGAGTTAGATTATCAACTCTTGTATAAGATTGAATGAATTATTTCACCCTACCATTTTGTGTATATCAATGTCTTTTCCTTATAATATATTATAACATTATTTTTTCATACATAAATGATGATTCTATAATCTCCCGTTAATTTTTCTCTCTCATAAACTGGGCCAATTTTTTTCTCTTGAAATGTTTACATCTCAGCATTGTCCTTGTTCACGTGATGAGATTATTACAATTATTGCAAATCTTATATGGAGTGAATCAAGTCGACCTATAGCTCTATATGCCTTGGGTAAGAGTTGTATAACTATTGTAAATTATTTGTTAATTTAACCTCTAACTAGGCTGAAGTAAGTTTTGTCGGTTGTATTCACTAGGCTGAAGTAAGTTTTGTCGGTTGTATTCATCATAAGATTGGTCTTAGTTGGGATACCATCAAAATATCACTAAGTATTGCTGACTGTTTCATTCTAACATGAAGCTCTCCAATAATAATGACCTATAGTTACACCTAAAATTAAATCTGAGACCTTCAGGTCTTATAAGGAATGCTTTACTATTAGAAATACTACTTACATTGTAGCTTATAAGTAGTATACAGAGGTTGCCGTTACCACTTTTGCTAAGTTAATATTAATTAATCTCCAGTTCAACTCTTTCTTCAAGTTAAATGACAATTCATTGCTCATATCATTGACTTGTTAATGAATAGGTTTGTTAATGCTCTGATGTGATATGAGGACAAACCAAATAAGTTCAACATGACGAAGAGCTTCGTTTGTTTACTTAATGGTGAAGTGGGATGAATGATATAGCGTAGACAGTGTATTCTACAAACACCCAGCAATTACAGTGAACTCAAGCACGCAAATCGAGTTCATTTATACATTATAGAAACGTCCTTGTGATAGTCACAGAAATAGCTTACTAAAATAACGCACCAACCAATCACGGCCAAAGATTTTCTTGGTGGGAAATGTGATCTCAAGGTCAACTGATCAGCCCATGAATAAAATCCAAAATTAAGACATTTTTCAAGTGAGTTCTGGGGATCTAACTTCCCCAACAATATGCGCCACACAAATTATTAAATTTGTGTGTGGACTACGATACTGCTCATCTGCCCAAACCAAAGCAGGTGGTTTTTTACGGGATCAGTCCCCGAGACTTTGATCCAAAAGTCTAATCCGCAAAGCATTGGAGCAATGTAAGGAAATGAAATCCCTTGATACCCCCTGACCAACTACAAGTTCATATACCATTTATTACGCTAGGATACTGGAGCCCATGTGCACTATTCGTTTAGAGCCATAGTTTCCTAACTCCTCAAGATTGATCCTTCATACCTACCAGCCTGATTACAGTGCCAGCCACTCGTTTTCTGCCTTGAGTTTCGTGAACAACACCCGTGTGACGAGAAGGCAGTGATTAGGATTTTTATAACAGTAGGTATGTACTCGCGGTCATGTGAGAACATCTAGAGAGAGATAGAGATTGCATTCTCCCCATTTTCGATTATACTAGGGATTTCGGGTGCTAAAGAACACTACAGATTTAATGATAGTCATAATAAACCCTTTAGTTGTTAGCGAATCTAATTAAATTTCACTTAGAATTTGCAAGTAGCTATAAAATGTAATACAGGTAATTCACTAGAATTATGAAGTTTTACATACAATTACTGCGTAATTACTTTATTTTTATCAAAATACTGGGTATTTGCTCACCATATGTTTCATATAATCAACCTTATTTTGACTACCTGTCGTCTCAGTTTGAATATCCTAGTGGTTTCGGTTGTTTCATTTTTATGTCTACTGAAAAAGAATATGGCGATAATGAATCTAGTGAACCTCACGCAGTGGAAAAGTGCCTCTTAATTAATTTGACTTATTGTTTTTTTTCATTTTCATCATTGAATCCTTGAGGCTTTATGTTGCTTATAACCGACTGACTGATATTTGAATCCAATTGATTTATTAAAATGAAGTTACTTTACATTAATTAGGAAAGATGATATTTTGTCCGCTAAGTAATTCAGTCCTCTCTAGATAGTTAGTTAGTAATTAATAAAATTGGACCCAACACACATTTTTACATCCTTCTAAAATGTCATAGTTTGCATCAACATGGAGAGAGAGAGAGTTGTTCGAAATAGTGGTCAATGTCATTCATTCCCTATGTACATGGTGTTTATTCAGCTTTGAACCACGCTGTTTATTTACAGGTTAACAATCATACATGACTGATCAAACCAGAGTAGGTGAAGCAAAAGCCAAGTCTTCTACCCATTAATATGATATTATGGATTGTATGATAGTACGCATAGTAAAATGATCAACATTAGTGAATATAGTTCGAAAAGTGCAACTAAAATCAAGGAATACAAACTGTCAAGTGATATTGAGATTCTGAATTTCGGAGAAAATGGTGAATGTGTGGCGCATGTGTGGTACCACAACCAATTGTCAGCCGTGTCATCCGATCGTAGCTGCTACCTTGACGTGGTGCTCGAGTTTGCCTATCGTGATGACCCAACCGAGCTATACTGGCTGGAACATATGTTCCTGAAGGTTTTAACATACCAGGCAGGTCGATTGGAGAACGATGAGACTAAAAACAGCTACCTAAGGTCTGAGGACCAAGTCGTACTGCTGACTGCAGAGAGGTGTGACAGCAGTAAGGTGTTTCCCTTGGACAACCAGCATCTGCAGCGATGCTGTCTTCTCACAAGGAAGGAAGGGTTAGAAAAGGTCGACCCTAAAAATGTTACACCTCACCCTACCACACGGATTTCCGTCTTTGCCGGTAAGGGTGCCCACTAAGGACTTTTAAGAGCGGAGCTAATACTAAAAAAACCTTTCATGAAAAAGCCGTTCGTGACTGGCCTCAAGCATTTGTCCCCTGTGCTCTGCGGTCACGCCACAGGTCTCTAAGACCGACACTAATCTACCTTCCTTTCCAGGTTCGTCAAGAAACAACCTTCTACGGTGTGGGCACCCGAAAGTGACAACCGCCCTCATACCCGTAACAGCACACGAAACCAAATCGGTCACAACCAAATCCTTCTTACACCCCCGAATATCTCTCTTATCTCTACGACTAACTCTAGTCGCATTCTTTCAGCTCACTTCACTGCTAATGCAAACGATACGTCAGCCGTATCACCTATAGTCTACGACAATTCATGAAGATTATTGAACAGATCACAGCTTGGTGGTGTAGAACTTGTTAACATGAATCAAATCAGGCATAAATTCACGAACTTATGTCTTGCGTTGGTTTAGCAGCACTTGACCACCTTCTTTAGTTCGAAAATTCTGTTCAAGCTTTTAGTTTCTTGTGAATCGATTTTTTCAACTGTTTCTATTCAGAAACTCTGAATGATTTACACAATGTTGGACAAGTATACACCGTTTCATCTCACGTTATTTATGACACACTAGGTATCATTACCAAGGTTTAACTTGATAATTTTAAATAAATTAGGCGTTGGGTGGTTTGTTATTTGCAGTTGTTAGGATATTCATCCAATATCCTAAGAGAATTATTGGTCGATTCCTATTGGTAAATTCCTACTAGACAATTTCATGGTCATCCTGGATATCAATGTCACGTGCTCCAATGTTGTTTCTTATTGGTTGTTCTGACTATTAATATAACTTTAAATGTTGCTTCCTATTGGCCGTTTTAACTGCCAATGTCACAGACTTCGATGCTGTTTCCTATTCGACCAAAATGTATAAATACGCATTATTTGTAACGTTTTATGACCACAACGAGGACCAGGACCCGGTCCCGGATCCCTGATCCCTTGTCCGGGATCCTGATTCTCTTCTGGACTCGGACCTCGTACTTGCTGGATGCTTGTAGAATACAGGTTCTACTTCGTATCAAGTTTCTTGTTTCATTCAATTGGGGGTTAGGACAATCGAATTGAGTAGCATGTCGTGTTGCCGGATCCTCGATCCTCGCTCTCGTTTTCATACTAGGTAAACTCGTAGTAGTCCAAGTATATATCAAGTTGACGTGTTTACGTGCAGGCGTAACAGTAGTATCCCAAATTTTCTGACGTTTCATAACTCAATGTAAACTACTTTCTCAGACAATAAATAAAAACAAATTAAATTAGTCCAAGTTTTATGAGAAATGTTGAGAATTTTAAACACCATGGATTTTTCTTCCACTAAAACATTTTTCATTGAAATTATACCACTTCTTTCAATAGTCAAATATTCAAAACAGTTTACTTTTCATTGTATCTCAAACTTTTCAAAAGTCTTTACTTCCTCCCGCTTTATTTCACCACCCCCCATCCCCCACGCACCCTTCCAGATCTTCTTAGTAATTTAGTCGCTGTATTCCCATTGGAGGTGGCTATTCGAGCTGATCGTTTAAATCCAATCATTGATTCTATCGGATTAATACCATTGTCAATTTCAACTGCATTAGTACACGCCTTATTACCATTGATACGTGCTGGTAGTTTACTAGAATTAAGCTGTAATGGTGATAATCAAACAAATGATAATCCATTTCATCAAGTTCGTATGCGTTTAATCAGTAATTTATGCAAAGCTGCTCAATCACCTAGAATATCTAGTCGATGTGTAGCAGTAGCTTGTCTGATGCTTTTATTAAAACATTTAAAAGTAAGTAAGTTGTGTTAATTGTTTTTTTTAAAATTTCAACTGTGATTACTTACTTACTTACTTACGCCTGTTACCCCCAATGGAGCATAGGCCGCCCACCAGTTTTCTCCAACCAACTCTGTCCTGGGCTTCCCTCTCCAGTTCTGTCCAATGTTTGTTCATTCCTCTCATATCTTTCTCTATTTCTCGGCGTAGTGTGTTCATTGGCCTTCCTCTTTTCCTTTTGCCTTGAGGGTTCCATGTGAGGGCTTGTCTCGTGACGCAGTTGGGTGCTTTTCGTAGTGTGTGTCCTATCCACTTCCATCGCTTCTTCCTGATTTCCTCCTCCACTGCAATCTGACTTGTTCTCTCCCACAGTTCGTTGTTGCTAATGGTGTCTGGCCAACGAATACGAAGTATTTTGCGTAGACAGCTGTTAACAAACACTTGTATCCTCTGGATGATAGCTTTGGTAGTTCTCCAAGTTTCCGCTGCATACAGTGGAACTGTATTGACATTTGTATTGAAAATCCTGATTTTGGTTTTGGTTGAAAGTTGTTTGGAGTTCCAGATCCCGACCGAAGCTGCTACCTTGACGTGGTGGTCGGGCTTGCCTATCGTGATGACCCAACCGAGCTATACTGGCTGGAACATATGTTCCTGCAGGTCCTACCATGCCAGGCAGGTCGATTGGAGAACGATGAGACTAAAAGCAGCTACCCAAGGTCTGAGGGCGAAGTCGTACTGCTGACTGCAGAGGGGTGTGACAGCAGTAAGGTGTTTCCCTCGGACAACCAGCATCTGCAGCGATGCTGCCTTCTCACAAGGAAGGAAGGGTTAGAAAAGGTCGGCCCTAAAAATGTCACACTCCCCCTAACTCACGGATTTCCGTCTCCCTGGGTAAGGGTGCCTACTAAGGGCCTTTAAGAACGGAGCTAATCCTCAAAATACCTTTCATAAAAAGGCCGTGCGTGACCGGCCTCAAGCAGTTGTCCCTTGGACTCTGCGGTCACGCACCAACACTAATCCATCTTCCTTTTCAGGTCCCTCAAGAAACAACCTTCCACGGTGTGGGCAGCCGGGAAGTGACAGCCGCCCTCAC